TCAATGATTAATTGAATGCCCGTGAGTAACGCCGAACATGTAATGACTGGCTTTAACAAACGTCACTCTCTTTGTTGAGTGGAAGATAAAAAAAAAGACTGATGGAAATGCGGCAGCGGGAAGATATGCGCATTTATTGAAATCGATAATCGATGCGAAACAATCGGTGCTCGATCGAAATTTGTTATGCGAGACGTCAACGAACGCAATTCAATTGGCACAGCGTGACATAGATCGTTTTCGCGAACGTTATCGTCGATGGCGCGCGCATGAGTGTGCGTGCGAAAACGAGTTGCTAATCCAGTGCACATGGCTGCAAAATACCAGGTAAAAAGAGCCGCAATCGTATAAGTGACGTGCCAATTTCTGTTTGCACTATATTCTCTCGTTATGACATTTCCGTTTTAAATTGTATACCTACCTAAAAATCATGATAATTCGAATACTTTAGCTGCAAATTTAGCGTTGGTACTACATATCAAAAGTATTTGAATAAAAATGATTAAAGATAATATATATATAATATTTACTTGTATCTTTGAAAGGTATATATATGTATATACACACATAAATACAGATAATTGCTAAATGAGAGATAACCGAATTAGAAAGTTCCTAATGAATAAATTGATTTAAAATTAATTTATTTAACTGCTTGTCATTTGATTATAAAGTATAAAATTGTCTTTATGGTTTTATATGTATACATATACACAGAGAGTTTTATTCTTCATTTGAACTCTCTTTCACTTTTATCTTTCTCAAGAGAAAATTGAACATCATTGAGACTAATTCCGAAAGAGTATTGCTCTTCTTCATAGAAAATCGCACAAGAATCACGCTCGAGGAAATCGAGACGTCTTCGTCGTGATATCTTCGCAAACACATAGCCGACGAGAGACGTGGTGAACGAACGAACGGGAACAAGGCCGTCATCGCAGGAAGAGACGGAGTCGAGATTACCAGCGCGCGCTTCGTTTTCCCTCCTTTCGTTCTCCTTTTCCGCGTCCGCCACCCTTTGCATTCAAACGTGAAGTTATCAGGGCTAATTTTCCGCCTTTGTCGCGCCCCTCGGTGGCCACCAGCCGGTTCATTATTCGCATCTAGCGACCACTGTTTTTAATAACCTAATGGCTCTTACGCGGTACATTATATCGCCACTCTTCTCTTTCCTCCCCCGCCCCCTTCTCTGCTCCCTCCACCGGGGGCCTCCTTCGTTGCTTTTTCGTTAGCCCGTTCCTTTATTCACGATCCTTGACGAAACGATGGAACATCCAACTCTCATCGTGCCATTCGTTCGCTCATGGCGCTTATAACGATACTTTCGTTCGACGGTGACTCTCTCGGACTCGCGTTCCACCGGGAGAGATTACGGCGAACGAGAAACCCTCTTGGAAATCCTTCTCTGACTTCTCCCTTCGCGCGATCGCTGGAGAACGAAACGATCGCTTAAGCCTTTATTCCTTGCGCTTTTGTTGAATGGCGATCCTTTATACGGTTTTTGTCTCAGCGAATAATCGAGGGAGAGATGAGTTTGCGAACATTGAAGACATGGACAAATAAAGAATAAAGACACTCGAGTTATTGTCTATCGCGCAATTGGTCTCGCTTCTTGAGTGATTGATCATTGTGCGAAGATACGAACTATCGATAACGGGAATATACGTCGATAGGAAGAAATTAGGAACAATTCTTCTCACCGATAATTCTCTTTTTAATTCAGATCATTTATTTCCTTGATAAATATTGGGTATAAGCGATGATATCAATCGCGGTACGTTCTCCCGCTTCCGGTTGCAAGGTTTCGTTTTTCACACTTCGCGAAGGAGTCAAACTAGACGCAGAGCTCCCGCGGCGAGTAATACGGCTGATTACAATTCAGAATGCGAGGGCGATGATATTTCACTTCTTTTTCGAGGCTTTACGATCGGACGTTTTTAATTTCCCGCCGTGCGCTCCGGCTAGAGGCCCAAGCCGAATGCAAATTGTGACAGGAAAGTTATGCGCGACCGTGAAATTAATGTCTTTCCAAGATCAGGACTTAATAACCCGTTATATACTTCGCGTACCACACACATACACGCGTGTGCAATTCTGCGAGCGGATTTATGAAGTGACGAAGTTTCTCTCGCGCGCGCGCTTGCTAAATTGAATTCGACTTGCCCCATTTCTTTGGCTCGTATAAATCATCAGGGAATCGATTGCCGATATTCTCGTTTAAATCTCCAATACGTACCTAATTGTTAAATTTTGCGTCTACTGTACGATTAAGTTATTACATCTTATTATAGTATACATAGATAATACATTTACTGAAAATAATTTTGATATATCGGCATTATTTGCTATACAATGACATAATTGTAATTTTTCAGTTGCTTGCATAAAAGAACGGAACATAAAGGAAAAAGTAAAAAAAAAACCATAAAATTGAAAAATGTATATCCTCTTATTTTTTTATTGTTGGTCATTACATCAAAATTACATTTAAAAATGAAAATTACAAAATTTTAATGATTCAAAATATTCAAACTAGTTTTCTTATTTATTGAAAAATATTTTATTTGTATCATTGGTATAGCAAATGACAGATACTAATTTATAATATTTTACAGTATGAAACAAATATCTGGATCATCCTCTCTCTCACTATTTTGCCTTCGAGTATGCCTTGTGGTCTACGTGTTTGCCAATATTTCTACGTTCAGCTTGGCGGAAGTTAGTAAACATGATCAGAGCAAAGCATCATACACGAAAGAAAGATCCGACTCGATTAAAAACTCAAAGAATTCGATCATTTCTTCACATCAACATAAAAATAATAAGGTTAATCAAAATATATTTATATAATCTAAACTATATTGATATTTCATCAATCAATCTGTAATGATTCTTTGTTATTTGATGATGCGCTCCATTTTTGGGGGTAGAAATTTTCTATGAGATTTCACAAAGCGAGTGTCGTCATGATTGATAAGAGGATCTGAATCGGCCGAGAGCGACACACGACGACAGATTCTGTTCTCAAGAATGGGTTTTTAATATTTCAAACGTTAATTTCTTTTAGCGAGAGACATACGGAATGACGTAGAGTATCTCTTCCGCCAGTTCTCAGTCTTTATGCCGAGTGACAAAATGACAAAGGGTTGGTCGCCCCGGGCCAGCGATATTACCGTTTCCGTTTCGGAACTATGCGAACTGTCGTCTATCGTTCCTCTCTTCGGTCGCGTATTGCAGCCGAAAATGTCTTGTGATTGATTATGCCCACCGCACTTTCGGTACTCGACTCTCGAAACGGCCGATTGATGGAGAACTTGCGAAAAGGATCGTCACGCTCGCAAACGGAATCAGAATGTCTCAAAACATTACATTACTCTTTAATACGTTTTCTAGAAATAGACAACCAATAAAATAACTCAAAGAGATCACAAATAATTCACATTATATAACGAAATAGTAAAATAATTTTTCCTCATACTATAGTGTTTCTATAAAAAAAAATATTTAAAAAAATTTGATTATATCACATTATATCGCAAGGTAATTTTGTCCAATACGATCTAAGCGTTGCAATTTTGGTTGAGTCAAATACTGAAAATATTTAATTGAAAATCGATCAAATTTAAAATAAGAAACATTTCTGAACATTAATTGAAAATGTGAGACAGTTTTAATATATTTACAAAGGTTTAGTAAAAATTTAACTGTCCATGTAAATTATTTACAAATAATAAGTAGGTCACATTTGGCGCAGTGCCTTCTAATATACTTTATAATTTACAATACACACTTATGTGTTTTAATAAAATCTTCCAATCGACAAAGACATTTCATCATCGTAGGCAGTTTAATGAAAAGAATTCTGGTATACACATACAGGGCTATGTTAGGTCGAAAGGCAGACCGAGGGTGAGACGGAAAGCGAGTCTTTATTTAGTTAAATGCCGCGTATAATTGGGTGTAAGATCTTTTTTTTGTTCGGCAAACCGACCGCAACGTCGTGTCCTACCGCGAAACCGCTGCGTCGCGTCGCGAGGCTCAAGTTTTCTACCCCTTTTCCGCAGCGCGCTAGCTGCCGGTGGTGGCTGCCAGCCACCTGATGGCACAAGGGCCCACCGGGAATGAGATGCAGATTGCCAGAGGCCACTTCAGCCACGCTGGAGGGGGAGTGAATTTTTAATAATACCGTACCCCGTGCCCGCGCGGCTCCTGGATGTAGAATCCCATTGTTTCGGCCGCACGAGCGCGTCGGAAAAAGGACGAAGCGAAATAGTATGTACGCGATACGTTACGGAACCAGCATTATTATAACGCGCTAACGTGTCGGTGGTAGGAAGGGATTGTCAACGGCAGGATATTCCGCAGTCTTCACACCAAAGAATGCCGTTGTAGAATGTTCGAAAGCCCGTGGTACATTTAAGAATACGAGTCGTTTGTGCAAGTGTTAATTCTCTCTCTTTCTTTCTCTTTTATACATATATTATTCCACAGGCTATTTCTCCGATGTTCAGTAAAAATACAGAAAATTAATATATGTCAATTAGATTATTAAATTGAGATATTTTCTTTTAAACATGTAGGTTGACGACGACCGAAATTATTCCGCGAATAAATCTGTGATGATTAGCGACGAAAGAAATAGCGCGGCTTTAAATAGATTTCTGGAAGATGTTCTAAATGCGCAAAACGATTTGAAGTGGATAGATCACGTCACACGTCATATTAATCATAGAGCACATCTAAATGAGTAAGAATCTAGATATATGTAAGTTATGTTGCTTGTTATTGTAACAAAAAAGAAACAAATAAAATGAAAAGTAAAATAAATTTAATAGGAATTGTTTGTAAGCTCAACTCAATTTCCATAAATTTTAATCGCTAGAAGTGTCTACTTCAATTGAAAAAAGTTACCAACCTCGATCTATATATTTGCATTCTACAGTGATTTAGAAACGCGCCAATTTTTATTGAGTGATTTAATAGGAATATTTCCGATACAGTCCGCTGGCGCATACAAACCAGCACTCTACCGTATCCATCAACACGAGGAATATCCTGGAACGGGATGATATTGGTTATGGAAGTAGGTTACGCGGCAAGAGGGGCTTCGATCGGAATTATGAAACGATGTGGATGCTGCAGAAGAAGAAATACGGACGGAAGAGTACTCGCGATGTTCCTCAAAGAGTTTATCTAGATAACGATATGACATTTAATGCTGATAACGCTCTTTATCAATCCCATGGCACGTAAGCAACGGAATAATATTGATATATTACAAATTATAATTTATTTTTGTTTAAGTAAATCCTAAAAAATATTATCTACATGAACATCTAAAAATTATTAAAATAAAAACTTTTTAGCGCGTTAAAGTAATATTTTATTTTTATCCTTTCAAATTGAAATTTTTCTAAAATGAAATATTTATTGCATTGCTATAAATACGTTCATACAGATAAAAATAACAATTTACATATAACTTATAAGATTATTTGACTTGAACTAATGGACTACATTTTTCATACTCGTACGTAACAAATCTTCTAAAAGCTAGCATGTTTCTTATAGTAGACAGATAGAAATTCATTTCACCCTTGAGCATAGGTTAGATAGAGCTGTCTACCAAGAAGGAACGATGGTCGATCAGCCATTGAAAGATTGGACTGAAGAGAAGAATTTCCATTCCTCGAGCGATTGGTCAAATTCTAATGAGAATCCCAAAGTGACTAACAGCGAAAGTATATGGCTTCGAAATTACGAATCTCCTGAAAATCTCGTTAATTCTGGTATTATCAAAATAATTAAAATAATTAAAAATGTTGACTTAATTCTGAATAACATTTTAAATGTGATCTCTTAGATTCGAGCAAAAACGAAAAATTACATGCTGACCTGCGGGATCAATTCGTATCGTTGCACAATCCAATATACGCAAATGATGTTACCGCTTTGCGTGAATCTCCAATTGCAATCAGAAATGGCAAAACTCAAAGTGTACCGCTATCATTGGAATCTTTGAAGAGAACTATATTGGAATTAAGAGATAGTTTGATGTTGGGCTATAAAAGAAGAAATATAACACCGAAAAGTACTAATTTTTATTAATATTATCATTATTACTGTCATTACTGCAATCAATTTTTTCAGGAGAATCTAATCAGTGGAATGAACCAAGATCGATAGCTGAAATGTATAATTTTGGGGGAGATTTTGAAGACTATCTTGATGAAGAAACAATACGGAGACTAAAAAGAGCAAAAAATATAGCTAACGAAGATGAAAATGACTCCAAACTTTTTCAGGGAGTAGAGTTTGGGGAAACATATTTTGAGAAACGAAATTCGAAAGAATCACATGATCGCAGTAAACGCAGTAGAAGGAGTTTTATCGTAAATTCAAATTACACAAATAATCAGAAAGATATTCCTGAAAATAACCGTTATCAAAAAATTCAAATGATTAATAGCGTTCTCAAAAATATAACTACAATACAAAATAAAGAAATCGTTACCGAATTATATTCTAGTTATCTTAGCAACGATGGAAAAAATTCGGTAAACGCTTCGAACAAGATAAATATTACTGATCTGAAAAATTCTTTAGATAAAGGATCTTTTTCAGATAATCATTTCAATAACTTAACGATTAACCCATCAACAGGTAACGAAACAAATATTTTTGAACTAAAATATTCTGAAAATACAGAACTATATTTAAATGATCATTTCTTCGACAACAAATCATTATTTGTTATAAAAACGGACTTACAAACGCATTTACCAGAACATATTACAAAAAATAAAGTTCCTAAAACAAGTTGGAAGAAAATTGGTCAACATTCCACAATTAAAAGGATATTAAAAACTATTGATCAAACAACGAAGAATCGTACTAACTCGTCCAATTTCGAAAAGAGTGCATTCACTTATTTGATAGATTTTTCAATAAATGATGGTACTGATGATTCTGGGAAATCCCTGAAAAATCGAAGTGGCGGAGAGAAATCAGGATTCGCAACGCAGAAAATATCGCAACTCAGCATAGATGACGGACAATCGAAGGGCGCGGAAAAAGAGTTTCCCCGGGGAAATATGTTGCATGGGTTCGGTATCGGAACAAATGAATCATGGAGCTGTGTCTTCACAACAACCGTAGCCTTGAAAGAAAGAGAAATTGAGGCAGACGAAACGCAAAACCGCGAGCTGATACCCGGTGTCATCAAAATATTTGAGCCTCGAGGGCATCTATATCAAAAGCAGGAGGCCGAGACGACGACGACGACGACGACGACGAGATTGTCTCGGGAAATGGAACAAGACGGTATGTCCGCGGCGAAGATAAAGTCGGACGAAGATAAAGTCGACAAGTCAAGAAATACAAATGCAAGAGAAGACTCTTTGACTTCGCCGATTGATTCTGTCACCAATGCGACAATGAAACCAGAAGCCGCATATATAAATACGTCTGAGACTGGTGAATCGATAATACTGAGGGATCTTGCTTCGGTGATTGTAGACAACGATTTGCGAAAGCAGCAACAGATGGTTCCGCTTCTAAGTGTCGAGAATAGAAACGCAAATAAATCGAATGGAAATTTGGATACTGATAAAATCGATATTCGTATTCTCGGGTCAAACGGAAATGAGACTATGAATGTAAAGGAAGGTACTCGAACTATAATGGAAGCTCACGAATATCACGAAACCGATAACAATTTACAGAGGAAATTATTATGGATTTCAGTCGATGGTGAAACTAGAGATTCATCGATAAAGAGCATGAGATCAGTTTTTAGAACTACGACTGACAGTTATACTGAAAATATGAATGAGAATCGACAGCAAAATAAAATAACTAATTCCGCAAACTTGGGAAAAATATTGACTAGAGTTAAACGCGAAGATAAAGCTGAAGAAAGTCATATGTTACAGGATACTATAAATTCTCAGAGTGCCGAAATAAATCACAACGCTCGTTACAAACAATCCGTATATCCTTATAAAAATATTGACACCAATAATGAAGCAGAGAATACAGCAGTTGAGAAGGAAGCGGCGATAAATTACGATGAAAGTAATGAATATCAAAATCTGAATGTCGAAGATCTTAAAGGGTTTTATAATGATAGAGAAGACGATGTGCTTGAAGGTATAAAAATCTGATCAATTTGTCGTTCACAGCAAAAATAATACAAAAGTAGGTAACGTATAACACGTTTACAGATAATGATAAAGCAGTGAAAAGAAAGGGACAATCTTCATTTAGACAGCAAATCGACCCTGTAAGAACTAAAGTTGATATGTTAATTAAGCAAAAGCTTGATAAGAAAAAACACAAAGACAGTAGAAATTATAGAAGAAAGAGACATAATATGTTGGATATGGTCGAGTATTACGATTATGATGATGACGAAGAAGGCGATGTTCCAATAAACGAGCAAGAAGCTGTGAATAAAGATAATACATTTTCAATTAATGCGAAAATAAAGCGCGGTAAGAACGTAAGCATAATAAAATTCACATTAAAAAGCGTGTAACTAAAATTATAGTAAATTTTTGAAACTAATTGAACATCGAAATTTCAATTGACCGCAGCTGGCAAATCATCATGTAAGTCAGGTGACTTAGGGAAAAAGAAGAATGAAAACGCCGAGGCGGTAATGAAAGAAGAACTCAGAAAAGCAAAAGCAAAGAACAAAGAGCCAAAAGAAGAAATTGTCGTTGATCTTGGTGAACGTAAGAATAAGACTACGAAGAAAGATCAAAGTGATAGAAAGCCCTTCAGTTCGTTAGGATCTAGTTTCGAGAACGTGTTCGATGAGGAAAGACAATTATTATCTAAGGGAAACTCGGAGAAAATTCGTCAAAGCAAAGATTTTGCGAATAATGTTTATTATAAAGAACCAGTTGCCGCGAAATCAAAATGGTAAATTATTTTACAAGTTAACAATAGGACATATATATCTTATTATCGATCGTTGTCACTATACATATAATAACACAAATATATTATAAGATACCTTCCATTTTAATTATAAATTTATCATATAAGTGCATATAATTTGATGCTATTGATGCAAACGACCAAAAAATAGATGTCTAACAGGTTGAATCAACCATTTGAGGATAGAAGCGTATCATCGAAGAATTCGGAGTTATTATTAGAGGACAATAAGAAAAAAACTTCAAATAAACCTTTCGAATACATATCCAATGCAGATTTAAATTCCAATGTTATCAAAAATATTTTAATAGACATTCAGCCTATCAAGATTGTGGATCAAAATAAAGAATCGAAAACTTCAAAAGACTTCTATGAAGATTTTGGAAACGACAGGTACAAATGCTTTAAAAAATATGTTATACGTTGTAATATATAATATATTAAATAATATGTACATATAAAATTTCAAATAGTTACAGAGTGCTTGACTGATGATTATCATAATAAAATTTATAGAAATAATTTATTTTAAATTCCACATAATTTTACAATAATTAAATTATTTTATATATTTTAAAATAAAAATCAATTATTAAATATTAACCAAAGAAAGTTCATAAATAAATTCTACCAAAATTATTCATTAGGATTACGCATAATATGATTCACACGGAATTGTGAAAATATAATAGTTTATCTTTTTTCGTAGGGCTGAAGATCATTATCAAGAGAACGATTCAAACAATATTGAGTTTCTGTATGAAGAATTGAAGAATTTGTATGATTGGCCTGATGGTGAATTAGAGAGCAGACCTCGGCTTAGAGGCGATCAAAGACTACGCTATGAATTAGATGATATACTTGATACAAATCCCTCTCAATTACAGCCATTGAACGATAGGTTCCTCAACTCGGGTCAAAACGACAACATACAAAAGAAATTCCAGTCAATTGATTCATCTCTAATGCGTAAATATTGAATGCAATCACCAAGAATAAAAGAATTATTACTTATTTTCACACACTTTAATCGAATTTATCCATATAATTTTTAAACGTTTTATATTAATTTTGATTTTAATGATCAGTTTATTCCTATCTTTATTTCTTTCTTCCTCCTAGTTGTAGTTTTCTTATGGTTATTTTTATAACGTTTGTATAATGGTAATACTTTTACGAAATATTTGATCGATAGCTGCAAACTCGAATAGCACTCTGGCGAGCAATTATTTCGCACTTAAAGTCATGAATGGTATGTTTAAAGGTGACATTGAGCAGAGTTCAACGGAGAAGAAAAATGCACCGAGTATATTTTCTGTCCAAACAACTGCCCAGTCAAAAGTATGTTTATGATTATTATTTATGGTAACATTTATACTTTTTTCGCAACAATATGAAGTAATTAATTGATACAGGTATCAGAAGATAAAAATATTCCGTTTTCCGAAGGACGGCCAATAATCGATACGGATTCCGAGACTCCATACGAAAATATTAAATATATCGAGTCCACAACACATGAATTATTGAAACGAAATCTAAATTTGGAGGAGCAGGCAGCGATTAGTTCACAAGACTTACATGAGTCTTTTGTGGAATCTCCAGATTGGCATGATGATTTCGATGTAAAAGTCAGATTGGGCAGAGGACTGAAAGCTATAAACGATACAGTAATTTCGGGTTTGAAGAAAACTTATAATCAAGATAATACATTAGACGCAGAAAATGCAACTTCTTTGCAAGTCTCTCATGATAATTCATCTAAATCACAAAATTGGCACAATGATACAATCGCAAATTTATTTAATCTTTTCAATAATAATCACGGTGTATCTGATCGAAGAGCTAAAAATGTTCAAGAATCGATTTCAATGAATACAGTTAACATGGATGATGACGATCTCGAAGCTGCCGAACAAAAATACGTAAATAATCAAACCTCGAGAATTAGAAGAGCAGCTGTTTCATATCGCACGTATTACGACAACATGAATCAAAATCAACATGATTATGATGAAACTAGCAGAAGTCTAGATAACCAATTTTATTCTCCGAATATCGTCGAAAATCAGTTCGATGAAGCGTATAAGATTGGAAACTGGAACAGTGACAGTGACACACAAGATCGTGATCAATACTCGAAAATTTCTCGAACCAACACGAGAAAGGAGAAATCCAAAAAAGGGAATAAAAAGAATAAGCATCCCTCGAAAAAACACGCAAAGAAAAGTAGTTCGCACTCTTCTTCAAATAGAAACAGGAGACATCACACACATCGGTCTAATATGTCGAAGAACCGAGGTGATTTAAAGAAGAAGAACAAAGCAGAAACATCTCCTTTGATTAGACGCACTAAAGTTCAGAAGAGTAAAACGGCCGAACAAGGACGTGCAAGAATGAACGAGGCACTGGGCGAAAAAGTGTTTTACGAGAATGCGGAGGATCAGAGTGTGAGTGAAAGGACAATCGCTGATCGCATCGTAGATCGCGCGACTGGATTAAGAAGAGAAAAGAATTAAAGATGATTTTTCAGACAGTGAAGCCGGAGATGGATGATGTACAGAGAAAGGAAATTACGCTGCTCCTCGCAGCCGACAACATTGACGACGAGTCGCAGATGGACGTGGCTCTTCACGGTGAACTAGCTGGAAAAATTGTCGAGCAAATATTCGAACAGGCAAGTAAAGGGTGTTATGTGATAACAAAGCTATTTTCAATATCCCTTTTATCAAATATAAACAATTATTTGACATACAGAGTACATTTTTCTGACATAAAGATGACAATTAATGATAATTATGATATTACAGGTCCAAAAAAATAATCGACTGAAGAATGCTTTTGGTCCTGGACTTCGCCGCGATCACAAAACGGAAGATGTAATAAGGGGTAACATTTATGGACAAGGACTCGATAAAGCTGGAGTAATCACGATATTTATTGCGAGAGATTTGTGTGTATGAAAGAAATTTGAATGATTTTAAATTGTTTTATTTTTTAAATTAATATAATTTAGACGAATCACACGGAAACGATGATAAAGAAAGTTATGGGGCTCCTTGATACGCTAATTGTGAATGAAGTGCAAAAGAAAACTTGCGTTACTTTATCGCCGGATATGCGAGAATTTTTAGGCTGGATGCTGGAAATGGATCGAGAGGAAGAATTGTTAGAAGAGGTACATAATCCGACTGCATATTAATTATATCATGAGATATAATTAATTCTTAATCAATTAATAAATATTAATTTTTAATTCAGGCACTACTGCTGCCATTGGTCCGTGAGAAAATTATTCCAGAGCAAAACACAGAACGCAAATTCCTGTTTGACAGCACTTCCAAGCAAGAGGAAGAAGGAAATATTAATGATCTACAGAAAAAAGTGAGAGTATTGGAAACTCTTGTAAAAGAATATAACGCCCTGACTGTAAAAGAAAAAACGAAGGTTCAAACAGTCCATGACTATTTGGTAAGATTTTACGTACAAGCTAATATATCATTATTCGATATTTGACTAGAAATGGCAATAAAATTTTATGTAAGAGAGAAAGAGAGAGACAAAAGATATTTCATAAATATTATTACAAAAATATCTGAAAACTATACTAGAAAAAAATTTTATAATTATTTAGATTCGACAGTTAAATCTACTTTTACAATACATCGAAGCGCGAGAAACTGCAGAAACAAAAGGAAAGCCTACATCAATGTTTGGCGCAGCTAGAACTAGAACCGGAAATATCTTACAATATCAAAGTACTGTGCCTAATGCTACTAATGCAAGCTATTCGATGACAAAAGATGTATTCTCTTTGCCAACCGAAGCGCATAATCTTTTCCGGCTCAACAATTCGTTTGAAACAATAGATAAACAGCTCCACGATAGTACGTAATACCTTTAGTGATTGCATTAATGATTTTTACAGTGTCTTAAAAAATATATTATACATATACTTGTTCTTTCTAATTGACAGTTTAATGGCGAATTCGATTGGGATGCACCAGTGCAGGGTGATTGCACCAGTTCATCTTTTTTCCCTTTCCCTTCTCCTGAAGAGAAAAGGAAAACAAATGAACTCAGGTGCACTCAGTGCGCACTAGTGCATCCAATCGAATTCGCCATAAGAATATTTCAGCACAGAAAATGCGGCAAATAAATGTTACGGGTGATGTTCCTTTAATTATCGATATCGGGAAATTGGTTATCGGAAATGTTTTCGGTCTAAATACCACGGCATGATAAACTATTTCCGCATCGAGTCAATAAAAAAAAAACCATAGCGGTTTCGACCAAACTTTCATACTCGAGTAATTACGTCCACATAATATCTGGTCTGAAAATAGTACGACAAAAATATCTATTCGATCATTTTCGCATATTCTGTGATGAAGGCAGTCGATTTGTTTTATTCATTCTATTTTTACTTAATATTCTCAGAATTAAGTGTGTAAGTTAACGTAACAAAATGCTCTGTTATGTTTTATTTCTAGATCATGTTGCATTTGGTCACAGAGAAACACGCAGCCTCGATAACATTCCACCGAAACGACATCACAAAACGAAACGCCAGAAGTTCCGCAATCAAAATAAAAATAAAAATCATAGACAGCCAAAGCTAAGACACAATGAGCATCGCAGACACGTAGATCATGTAGGAGCACTTCCTAGATATAGGAAGTCGCGACAAAAACGCGCAAATCCCGAAGAAAATCAAGCTTCGCTTTATTATTTAGGTTACGAAAAGCCAAGAATTTACGATTCGTTCGATCTCCTCGATGCGAAGTTGAAAAGGGAGAGCAAAAAGAAGAAACGAGAATTAATCAATAAAAAAAACGCAGCAATGGAGAATGATAGGATACTCAATTTGTCACCAATAAAAGGGAAGAATCGTATGGAGGACGAAGTGATACTGCTCAACAAGCGAGAAGCCTGGAAGAGGGAGAACGAGGAACAGCTGAAAGAGGTTGCCTTTGGCAAAGACATGAGAAATAGCTCAAGGAGGGAGAGAGAACGATTCGAGAAATTGACGGAAGGAGATAAACACAAACCTCCCTCGATCAATGAGACGAATTCCAGAATGAAGCGAGAGGACATAATTCGCAGGACATTAACCGGCGAGAGTCAGGACCAACAATTCTCCAACAAATCTCATGCAACATTCAAAATTCGTGATGGTGAATCATGGAATAATTCGGAAATAAATAATGTTAACGGCATAAAGGGTGAGAATAAACTGGAATTGGTTGAGCGAAGAATCAATGTTTTCGCGGACAACAAAACCGACGCAGCAATTGATTCCGCGGCTGCGCAAGTCAGCGCGGAAGAAAAGTTAGCGACAAATGCAGGAGCCAATAATCAGATTAAGGGAAAACTTCGTGCTATAAACCGTGAGACAAAAATTGACAAGGCAGACGGAAGTACAAGCTTTGTAAACTTGACGAGGAACGCGAAGCCTCGGGTCTCGAAGGAGCGACAGAAAGTTTTAGCAACAGAAAAAGAAGCAGATGATAACGCTGTAAAATTAAATCGTGCGACCAACTATCGACATGAGGAAATAGATCCTGAAATTGAGTTGAAAAATTTGAGACAGGAAAGAGAGAAAAAAATTTATGGCATTGCAAACTGGAAGACTAGCGACTACTTTTACGATGGTGATAATCTCTCTAGAAATAAATTAAGAGAAAAATATATAGCTAAGTTAGATGAACTGGGTGACCTGGATACGGATCCTGAGAATAATTTGGTACCTCTGAGATTAAGAAATAATAAATGGTTGAATGACGTCGTTGAATGGAAGCTGCTGCCGATAATAAAACAATTTCCATATGACGATTATGCCTTATCAAGAAATCGTTTAATAGAAAAAGAAACACCTATATCAAGCAACATTAAAGACGTGCAATCTCAATCTTATTTAAATAGCCCAAAATTTTGGCAACAAAAACATCGTAAAAGGAACAGTGTCTTTAATATCTCACCTATATTAAAAATAACCGACCGTGATTATTTTCCGCGCAGAACTCATCGAAACGCGAAACGAGTCTTTGAAAGAGCGAGATTCAACAATTTACAGGTAGATCCTAAAGTTATTTTTAAAGTTCAAAGACCATTTCGACCGTGGAACAACAAAAGAACGAACGACGTTGCAGAATTTGGAGTGCCTTTCGTATTGAAAGATCCTAAACGCGAGTTCCACGAAGTACTTCGATCTCGCAATCATCCAGAGCTCGGCGACCGAATAATCTACGGTGCGATCGGTCTACAATTGCCGGTTTGGCCGTATCAGTATTACGATGATTTTACGGACTCATCGACCTTTCACTTCGTCCCGAGCATTCATGGGAGAGGTAACGAGGTGTATCGATATCCCGCGGAAACATATCACGAGCATGGCCTCTTTAAAAAACGCCGTGCTCACGACGCGAGCCGGCGATTCGCAAGGCGAAATAGATTCCGCTTGAGAGCTTTAGACGGAGAAGATGCCGACGATTTTCCGACGAATAACTTAGCAAACAAGAGCTCGAAGTCCAGATTTTCACAAGGAAAGTTTCGCGTGGAACCGACCACGGTGGTTCTCGCCAGTGGTGAAGATTACTTCGCGTTCGGGGAGACAAAATACACAGGAAAGAATGCAAGAAAAACTAACGAAACTAAAACAAAATTAACAGAATAGACAAGACTTTTGATTGATGGGCAATAAAGGAATTTAGTTGCTCAGCATAAATGATAATAATTTCTGTATTCAATAACAATGTAATATATAGGAAATAGATCAAGAAATTTGAGAAATGCTATAAATTAATGTAACACGCGAAGAAAGGACGTGGCATTTTACCGCGTTGCATTTTCAGGTCAAATCGCGACATAATAACGTGATGTCAACGGGCGTCTAAATAATTTCATCAGATAAATCGGATAAATCATCGATGCGCGATTATTGTAATTGACACATTCGTCCTATCTATGCGCCAGACAAGCCAGTGAAACCTCGTAAATCGTCCTAGCTCGTTGGGATGAACTCAGCGTCGTCGCGTGTTTGCACACACGTACCACTGTCCACGCTAATCCATCTGCGCGAACATCATCGCTGCAGTGCAGTTAATGGCGTTGCCTTGCAATAATTAGATTAACAGATCGCATCAAAAGTTAAGAGACTTCGACACGTGGACATTGCATCTTAATCCAGAATTAAATTGCATCCATTACACATAATGTAAAATCAAACATTTAAAAAAATAAGAATATACAAAAGAAAAATAAGTATTTGCTTGATAACATTGATTTTTATTTTTATTTAGCTAGATTATGTAATATTTAACTCATTTGCATTTAAAATACTTTGAAAAATCATCGAACGTTGCAATAAAATAAGATTATAATTTGGTATAGTTTTTAATGGAACACATATTCATGACGCAATTTCAAAGCTCAAAGAAAACAGAAAGGAGTAGTACGCCTGGTGTGTATGTTGTCTCTAAGATTTTCATAAAATGCAAACGTTTCATATGTATCCGCACGATAAAAGCCAAATCTTTCAAACCCGCGGTCGCCACGCCGACTCAATCTCGCCGACTTACTCTCCCATCTAACAGGAAAAAGAGTGTATGCAGCGTATTCCCTTCTGCCCCGACCCGACTTGGCTCAAAATATCTCGAAAGTTTTCTCGTAAAGTAAGGCCACGCGGCGGAATTCCCTCCGGCCAATTAAAGTCTCGAAATCGGACGTGCTCGCTTATGCAGGCAAAATAGGCAAGGCAGGGATGAAAGAAAAAGAGAACGAGGAACAAACCGAGAAAAGAACAGAGATAGAGACAGAGCGAACCAGAACCAGAGGAAGGATGAGACACAGCCGTGTAGTCGGTGGATGTTATTACTTATTCGACTCTGGGATTTTAAGGGCGGGTTGGATTTATTTAGATATTCCGGCAGGAGCATCTGCTCGTGGTTCGATGTCTCCTCTCCCGCGCCTACGTTCGCTCGTTTCGCTCTTCTTCGGCGTGCATTAATATACGCACGGAGAGCCGGTAAGGGGTAGTAACATTTTTACATAACATTAGGATGTTGGAGTTACTCGAAAGCTTCGTACTATGGTTTGGGACCACTAATAGGGATTAAAGCGAAACACGCAACATCTTTGCGAGGTTAAATTCTGTATACATGTGTTGCTATACCATATAGAATTATAGATTATAAAGATAAATAGAGCTATGCATTATATATCATTGTCTCTACTTTTTGGAAATCAGTGTGATTATTACAAATATTACTATATGTACTCTACGCATGCAATAGAATTTGTTTCTTTTAGCTACGCCATTTCTTTTAATAATATTTGGTTATTGAGAAATGTAACACATAAGAGAAAATAATACATAAGTTGCAATAAATTACATAAAAGATGTAGCTAAAAAAACAAATTAATTGTAAAAATTGGAATTCAGCACTTATCAATTCGCGACATCCCTCGTCGTCCACCGATGTATCTTCAGCTGCAATTACACTTGTAACAGTATCTGGAAGTGGTTCTGGAACCTGGAGCATCTCTCCATCGTTCCTTGTTGCTTGCACACACATTCCACTCTACTTCATGTAATATATTCACGACAAGAAATTCAACACTGGACTACAATTTTAACGAATAAATAGTTTAATAATTCAAAACTTTAATAATTAACAAGTATTTTCCGATATAATTACATTTGTAAATTATAATTATATAATGTAAAATATTAAAAAAGATTTGTATGTCCAGTGTACTTTACGTCACATTTTTTAATAATGATCTATTGTAAAATATTTATAAACTGAATTTAAAGTATATTTCATTGCAGAACAAGACAATATATGAATTCTCTTTTGTTGCTTTATAACATTTGCGAAGATTATATTGCTTCAGAATATTGCTGTGAAAATCACTTTGTCTCATAATATACTGCGAGATTCAATTTCACAATTTCTTTGCAAATATTATTTGACGAAAACGACAGAATTAAAATTTGTAGGAAAAAAATCAGAATTTAAGAATCGTGAAGAAAAAAACAATAAATTTTTATTGTAATATACTCATAATTTAAATTTAATTTGATAAAAATCCATATCAACTAATAAATTTAAATGCGAATATGTAAATAACAAAATATAAAATAATAGTATAATTTAATCACGCAATAAAAATTAGACTTACAACGTTTTATGAATTCAGCTTCATGAATTTTCAACATGGTCTATAATTTATATTCTTTTCACATCCGACACACTTATACAAAAATTTATATCTACATGTACACATCTACATGCAAAATGAATTCATCACACTGATTTCAGAAGCTATCACACAATTTCGGCAGAAAAAAAGCTATCATCTAATTTTACTCACTGATATCACCAAATCAGAATCTGCCATGTCTCGTTTCAGGTCTATAATAAAAATATAATACTATCAATCAGTTTTAAATTAAACAATTAAGTATTATTTTATACAATAATCGAGTACAATTTGTACGTTTGCAAAAATTTTAGAACTATTGTAAAATATTGCGAATTAATTAAATGATCTATAAATAGCAGTAATTTAAAAAATTATAAAAGATATTTTTAAAATATGTGAATTATTAAAATAAAAATATATCAATTCAGTATACAAAGAAATGTGTATATTTTAAATTGTATATATAGACAGTATTTTTTAATATACATATAGCGTATATTGATACAAATAATTATTTACAGCAATTAAATTTTGTATAGAATGTATGTCTTAAAATTATCAAATTGTAAAATCAAGCATAAAATGTTAAAGTAAAGATAAAAGCCAACCTTCGAAGCGATCCTGCTTGACCCGAATCGAATCCTTCAGTTCAGCTGCCAAATTCATAGGAAGTGCACATTCACATTCGCATCTGAAATAACAAATAATCGATTGATATTATTAATCTAATAAAATATTAATACAACATTATAGTACAAATTTGTTGAATAAATAAGATATTTCTATTTAAGAAAGATATGAGATATTTTTGTATTTCTTAAATAATAAGAGAATATTTAATCTTAACTTGTGGTCTGATTAAAAAGCTTATTTCTGAATTGTTCTAAATTCTTATTTTTAAAGAATCAAAACCAGGTTATTGAATTATTAAAAGCTTAAAGCTTCAATTCTCGTAAAAATGTACGACTACAATGGAATTTTAAGTTTAAGAAAACTATTTAATTATACAATGAAATTGTGTAGTATGTTGTTCGAATTATAACTATGACAACTATGTAATAGATAAGTAAGCACAACATGAAATTTATTTTTCAACAAATTAATATAAAATCCAATTTATATAGCCGTTATTCTGTAGTGTTACATCTGCATTCATAGACTTTAACAGTTACATATCATACCATATATAAAGTTCAGTTTTCATTTTAATTCAATTTAATTACTCACACATTTTTTTAACATTTTTATTAAAAGGTATTAACCTAAATACTTCAAATTAAAAATATATACCTGTGTGTGTAATAGCGTTAAATTTTATTAACATTTAATTAATATTATATATATATTACTATTAAAATTATATTTGTATTACAAATTTTGAATGTATTTAGGTAGCACGATATCGTAATTTATTTTTATTTTATGTAAAAAATTTTTTTAGGTCAACGAAATATACAGAGTTAATATCAACATATGTTACAATTATTTCGTTATCAATAATAGTAATGTATGCATAAAGAAAAAATTAATTATTATATATATATTATCATTTTAATATTTTGTGTAATGTATTTTTAAAAAAATGATTAAAAAAGAATAATACTAATAATATCGATATGTGTAAATATAAAATTCCGATGCATGCATTATATTTAAAATGATGTCAAATATTACGCTTGTAAATACATATGTCATCTAAAAATAAAATAGTTTTTTAATATGTTGTACAAAATTCGTAAAAATTGTTATATTTTTTTCTTATAAAAAGAATTAAACTTTGAATAAAAAATACAAATTATACTAAATTATTAATTATAACATTAACTTATTAGCATTAACATCGATTATAATATATTAATACTGATTCTTTGTACTTATTGTTAGCTAAATTGCTCATTAAGTAAATTACCATTTCCCACCGGAAATATAATGGACTATACTTCGGTTAAGATATTCGATTTTGAAGTTTTAATGGAACATTATGATTAGCAGCGTGCAATACAACGTAATATTATTTATAACGTAATGCAATAAAAGAATCACTATAGGAATATGCGACTAAAAAATTGGACTATTGAAAAAAAAACTGAATTATTTTATTTCCTTCTAGGATGCATTCCATTTAACATTCGCAATGCTGGTGTGGCCCGTATGCATCATTTTATCCTTGTTTAACATTTAATGAACAAATGAAATATGTATTTATCAGTGTTGCAACGTTTAGTGGAACGCATTTTTGAGACATCAATTTTTCTCAACGAAGAGATTCTTCCGCTCCTAAATTTACGACTATCTCAACGAACGGAAGTTAATCTTTCTCTCTCTTACGCGCGCGCGAGAATGATCTTACGAGACAAAACTAATTTCGAGGTCGAATGAATTAAAGAAACCTGACTAACCTCGCCAATTTTCTAAAGAGCAACGCTAGCTCCTCGTACCAGGAAACGGAGGTTCCGATAGGAAAGG